ATTTTGTGAACGTACAATAATTTTCTCTCTCCAACATGAATTTCCACAATATTTCTGAGGTATTCAGAGCTTTAATTTAAAAAAATAAGGAAGTTGATAGAATCATTAGTATCCTTCATCTGGCAATTCATTTAGATGTTCTTTCTTTTCGACTGCCTATTCTGTCTAGGAGGCACATCCTGTCGAACCGGAAGGAGGCGCCGCACAGTAGAAAGGCTATAGCTTCTTGTTGCTGGCCTTCATCACAAAGCGGAAATGAGAAAAAAGTCAGCTTTTGGGTGGGATTATTCGTTGTTACGATTTTTCCCTGCCGTAACCTTTTTTTGAGGGCAAGAAACCTTTAGATTTGCTCTTACAAGCTGGACGAGGGTCGTTGTGTTGCCACTAATTACAATCAAAAACTTTCATATTAAGTACATCTTCTCAGATGAATAGTTGGCACTCCTAATAGAGTTTTGAAACCCTGCCACTTTGTTAGTCGAATTGAAATTACCTTCATTGGATGAGCGGAAATGGTACATCGGTTGCATTTTTTTCTTGAAACAATTTGCGAGCATTGTAATGCGATTAGCGGAATTGGCATCTGAATTCTGCTTTCATTGGAAGAAATCAAGGGGTAGTGTCCACATCGGAAAATGTCACATTTTTCGTTGTTTTTTTTTTGAGAACAAAATTGTCAAATGCGGTAGCCACAAGTATTTATCACTTTCAGGGGGCTCCTTGCGTACCCAATATTAATTGAATTTAAATTGTACATTTTATTAAAAATTTTATGTTTGCTGGGGGATCTTAATTTTATATTTGGTTTCAAACCACTGGGAGTATCATAATTATTAATCATAGTTAATTAATGTAATGAACACTGTAATTAAATATCCTGTGATACACTAGCACAAAAATATTTGTTCTAATTTACAGGATGATATAGTTATAGCCAATATCCTCAAAAAATACGTAAAGCTTAATGCAAATAAATATTTCAGAAATAAATTATTCTCCTAAAGAAGGATGTAGAGTTTTACGAGATCTGCGTCACTTTGAAGTCAGCTGTTCGAAATAGGTATTACACAAATTATAACGCATTGCTTACATAATCGAAATTCTGCCCAGACATTAACAACTGAACCACTCTGAATTAATGAAACAATTCTGATTGTGAAAGCTTGAAAATTTAAAAGTAATAATACTGCTGTAATTCAATTAACTGGTCAATGGATTCATATGCACTGATAAATGAATCCCAGTAATGCTAATAAAATCATACACTGGCTTTTGAGCAAAGTGTAAGAGATGTGTTTCATGGAACGGAGTTCCTCGCAATTCTCTGTCCCCGTCAGCACAAGAAGACGCCAGAGTCATGTTTCAGTCTTCACTTTACAATATTATTGGGATTTCAAGGTTTGAGAAGACCATTTGTAATAAAGTGCAGAGTCATATTTCTATAGACGTTTTCCTCTTTCACTTCCTTTTTGACGAAACATTACTTGAAATATAGAGTCATTTCTTCAGAAAGCGTAAGTTATCAAAGAGAATATCACGAATTTTTCGGAAATTACCGATATATCAACGAACTGCGGTACGAAGAATTTACCAGGTAACTTTCAAACTGAAAGCAGGTATTTAATATTTCGTCGATATACAATGATTAAACTAAGTTAATAATTGTGAGTTAGACAACGCATAATTTCTTCATTATTACAGGAAAAATCCTTGGATATGAATTTTTTGATTTATATTTTGGATATATATTTTTTGATTCTGAAATATTACAAAATAAAGTATAATTATACCTACAAAAATATATTGAGGAGACAAATTGAATGAAATGAACTTCAACTTGATTTATCTCAAAATCCGAATTTTTGATATGACGAGTTTTATTTGTACAGAATATCTTAGAATAAATGTGTCAAAGATATAGAGAAAAAAGTGGATCGAACCTTTTGCCAATGAACATGAGGTGGAAAATTTGATATAACCAAGATATATGTGTGTCATTGCCCCTAATTGATAGGCAACTCATCATGCATTGGTTGGCAGATAGGGCAAAATGTATACGGCAAATACATGTAATCTTTTTACTTCCTCGCCCGTAAGAAGCTCCGCAAGAAGATAAAGTTATCTAATCTTGCTCCGGAAAGCAGCGAATTGTCGTCAGAAAATCTTTTATCGACGGGCCCTGGCAACGAAAAAGTGGATAAATCCAGTTGTTAAATGTAGAAGAAAAAATAATATGTGCAGTAGGCAGAATTCATTATTTGTAGGTCCTCGATACCGAAAATACGATTAACGGTAAAACGTCTGTTCGTCTCTCCGGCTGTCTGAGCGTCTGTCCGTCTGTTCGCCTGAGCGTCTGTGGTCAACGCGAGCGCCTAAACCGTTTAGCTGATTTTTTTTCCAAAATCTATATTCCCCGATCGTCCTGATCGAATTCGAGGCTTTAGGAGTTTCGAACGGATATTTTATTTTTTGTGGGGTTTTGTACATGAAGCGAGTGTTTACGTTTTGAAGTTTCTGCCTGAGTTTGATAGGTACCGTGCTTCTGTGGAGAAGTGTTATGAATGATGGCAAGTTAACTCTGAGGATCTGAGTGCGGGTCTCGGAGCGGAAAGAAATGTTTGCTGATTGAAAACCCTTTTTGAGGTTCATGTAGTAGTATAATATAGCGGAACAGTTAGAAATAATGCGAGAAAGTGTCGGCATTTGGAGCCCCACTAGTTTACTGGGTTACGAAGAGATCTGACAATACCAGAGCACGGTGAGCTGTCCATCTTCCAATGGAAAGTGTTCACCTCTATGAATTTTTAGCTCGTTTTGTGCAGGATACGTTGAATTAAGGACTATTACATTTGATCCGTTAGGAGATCTAACCAGTTAACTGAAGTAGTAGCGGTTTTGCATTCCAATTTGTGAATGTTTAAGATACAGCTTTTTGACACCGCAAATTATGTTCTTGTTAACCAGAAAAAAGAGAATGTATTATTGTCAGTACACATTATTCCTACTAGTACAGATTACTCCAGGCAATATCACCATAAGATAATTCTCGTATTTTTTTTGTGACAAAATTTGTCTTTTTCCATCGTGTGTTGAGAGGGGGCGGTAATTCACGAGATGCAACCGCCAGATCCGCGATTGGGTTTGAAAAGGAAGCTGCATAGATACTAAGTCAGGTGATGAGTTCCTCTATGTGTCTGGGTTTCTGTGGAACCCGCCGCCATATAGTGGAGAGAGCCCAGTGTTCTTTATTTATTGGCTGAAGCAAATGGAGCTGCGCGACTTTAACTCATTTGGAGACTTGTCACATGGACGAAACCGTGAAGACTGTCCCTAACCCAGAATTTCTTTTAAAATAGTTATTTATGCACCAAGGGCGTTTTAAGGTTTCTAATGATCGAGCGGCAACAAAAAGCCCGAGGACCAAAATCCTTATCGAAGGCAAGAACAAGCAATAACGTATCAGTAAAAAATAAATGTATCAAATATTAATTTTATTTGAAGGTTGAAGGTCGGTCAATAATGCATGTATCATACTTCCTAACTTACGAAAGATAAAGCCTTTCGAATCTTATCTTGTAAAATATGTCATAGGAAGAAGGCAGATAGTGCAAAAATGTATACAACCAAACATTTGCTGAAGACAACTAATATTTTAATTAAAAAAAATGAAACCATTTCATTGTCGCGTTATGTAGTAAATGTATTCTGCAAATGTCGTGTAAAATATTTGACTTTCATCTTTAATTTGAATGTTCCTTATGAAATTACAAACGCTTAACTATTTAAAACAAGACCGACTCAAACGTTAAGGACAGTAGGCATGTTTAGGGAATGTTTATTCGGTGTTCTTTAAAACGCAGGTTCTGGTACTCAAAAATACAACAAACGCTCGTCATTTTGAGCGCTACAGTATTTGTAGGCGGCGTGTAAGGCAATATGTGATTCATCGTCGGAGTATATTTTGTGCACGCGCTTGTGTTGGTGGACGAAGGGAAAAGTTTTAAATGGAAAGTTTCGCAGTGTGTTTCGGGCAGGGAGACACAGAAGCGCGGAACCGGACGCGCCTGGACCGGGGGGGGGGGGGAGGATGAGGATGAGGATGAGGCATGCTGGGCGGGGCTGGGCGGAACACGAGATGTAGGATGCGGGATATGCGGGATCGAGGCGGGCGAGGCAGAGTAATTCTGTACGCGGAACAGGAAGTAAAGAATGGCGGCCTATGTAGAGTTGAGACGAAACCAATGATAAAATTAAATGAAGCAAGTAATTTGAACGAAAACTCGCAGGCGAACGGGAGGGGGAGATTGATGGTAAAGAGAATAATTTGAGAAAACAAGTACTAAAGGAACTTGTCTTCACCTACCTGGCGAGTCATGCACAATCTACTTTCAATCAGAAGATAATAAAATTTTTGTCAAGAGTAAAGTATTACCATTTTTGGGGGATTTTTTGATGATGATTGAAACAAGAAGAAGGTAATTTGATACAGTCATTAGGAGGGAATGAATTCGACTACAACAAAGAGGGATATAGGTAATAATAGGGAAGACATAACAGAAATATCAGTGCATTCAAATATGGCTCTTTGTAATAAAGTAAGGCGTGGAAATAACATAATAAGAAACACTGAACACAAATCAAATCTCAAATTTCATTTGTATTTATTCAAATATTATAAATCAAAGGAAGAAAAGAGTCAGTGCAAGAAGGAGATAAAAGGAGAGAGCGGAAAGAGATACGTTGAAGATTATGAGAGAGAAAAGGGGAATGAGAAATGATGTTAAATGAATAGAGAAACCAGGGGAAGAAGGGAGAAATATAAGAAAAGGGTAAGCGAAGAGGGAACGGAAATATAAGTGGGAAATAAGCAAAAAATGAAAGGAAAATAATGGACAAAAGAGAAACAAACAAGTAAGGGAATTTAGGGGAGGTGAGAAAAAAAAGAGAAGGAGAGAGGTGAGAAGCGAAGAAAAAGAGGGGAAAGGGGGAGCGAAAACACATCACGGAGGAGAAACACGACCTAAAAGAAAAGACGAGAAAGGCAGATGGAGTGGAAGAGGGAAGGGCAAGAGAGCTGAGCTGCAGCGAGCACTCACCTGGCGGCGGCGCCACGCCGGAGCCCGAGCCTTGGTCCACCCACTCGTCGTCGTCGTCCTCGCTCTGCCAGTGCTCCCCGCCGCCGCTGCCCGAGCCCTCATCCCGCCGCAGGTACGAGTACGCCTCAGGCGCCAGCGTCAGCTGCGACAGCACCACCTGCGCGCACGCAACGCCCATTGGCTTCCGCGGAACGCAGGCGCTTAAACCCCGCTTGTAAACCATTCGCAAGGCCTATGTAGTATCGTACGCTTTCACGGCCGGAGTCAATAGAAGGTAGATTTTACGGGCTGGTACGCTTTCACGGCCGGAGTCAATAGAAGGTAGATTTTCCGGGCTGGTAGGCCGTGGTCCAGTTGGACCAACTGGACCACGGCCTACCAGCCCGGAAAATCTACCTTCTCAAAATCTACATTCTCAAAGCCTGTTTGGTGCCCCACTTACTGCGCCCTGGGGCACCAGCAGCATATCCAAATCATTTAAACTTTTAAATTCAAAGTATTGACGATGCCTCCAGCTATGTGCGAAACGACGTAATTCTCTCTGATTTTAAAATGGCAATAGTTAATGAAGAAATAACAAAACTATAGTTGTAAATATATTACAAATTAGAATGCCATACCAATGCTTTACCTTTAAGTTAGACAATAGTTTAGAAATACGATGTCTTAAAATATTCCAGCCTCTAGATTTGCTTTCTCAGATTCTGAAGTGTAGATATAAGTGTATAAACTGTATTAATAGAGAGATACTAATGAGTATCTTCATCAATTATTTTTATCTTGTCAATGAATTTACTTAATGTTCTCGTACATGAACAGATTGTAAATAAATAATAAGAAAGTCCCTTGTAATGTATTATAGACAATCATTCGGGAATTGCGGTTCTCAACGGATGAATTATTTGCTGAAACACTTGCAATTTATACGCCCTCTCAGCTACAGCGCGTAAATTGACACGTCGTTTCGGGGTTTTCTGATTTGAATCCATCTGGTACAATATGTACTGAAACTTATTAATAAATATAAACACTACTACATATTAAAAATTAACAATTTTGTATCAATTTCAGATTTTGTTCAATTTCAACGTTTTAAATATATAGTGTAAAACTAATGCTTAAAATCAGATGCTGTAGGTTATTCGTTAATTTCATTTGAAATAAATAAGAGGATTAAATAATTTTTAGAATTAAAGTTCTAAACAAATCTGAGGCTTAAATTCATTTTCAATTTCGCAAGGTTGGAGTTTATGGTAGTTAATTTCAATTTTGATTACATGTGGTTAGTAGTATTCGGGGGCTTCATAGTCGTACTTAGGATCTCTTACGATATCTAGAGAACTCTACTAGTTCTCTCAAGACATTTTGCTAAATTATTCATCTGAATGTACTCTATATAAAGAGAGTAAATAAATCAGACATAGTAAAGACATTAAACTTGAAAATGTAATGTAGAAGTTATTCCATAATAAATGTAATTATACATTTTTATTTTGTACTGTCTGGTAAGGTTTATACGATTCTCAAAATTTAGATTTCCCTCTCAACCTACGCAAAATATATTTTACGAGTATGTAAGGGATTACTGGCGATCTGGGAACATTGAACGAAACTGTTTAAGAAACTGTATTATCTTTTCTGGTGTGGCCTGCGCTAGTTGCTTTTCATTAGTTAAAGTACGTCGAATTTGGAGCACAATAAGGTTTACTATAATATAATATTCTATAAGCATACAATTTTTTCATTGAAAAGTAACTTTCAGTGTTTAAAAAAAATTCACATTAATGCTAGATTTCCCCTGAATATTCACTTGAATAATGAATTATGATTGGTTCTCAGTTTTATTATTTATTATAATATTATTTATTTAAAGAAAACAGAAATAATTGTAGGTGACGTTGGAGGATGGACTACATTAATTGGTCGTGTTCTTACGCAAAAAATTGGCTATTTCATTATATATTCTCAATATCAAGGATCACAGACATTCGCCCCTCGGTATTTTCAAATCTAGAAAATTTCCTGTCAATGGGAATGCTTTGCTGATCTTTGTTTTAACGAGAAATGAACGTCTAAGAAAGGACAATACACAATTAGTGATAATGGTAACTTATATACAGTTATTATTTGACTACTTATTATCTGGAACATTTACGATGTACGGTATACGGTTAATCCATCAGCAGTAAGATAAATATATGAGGTTTTCAATCACCTGAAGATAATGTTCAACAATACTTTTGACGTTTCTGATTCATACAGTTTTGATCAGTCTCTTGCATGCTAAAAAATAATATGAAATATTTGGAATAAATATTTCAAAATTCAAATACTTCACAGAACAAGAAATATTTGTATTGTAGAACATACAATAACAATTTTTATGATACACTCGCCGAAAAAGCAAAGAAAATCCCAAAAACAACTTAATTTTCGTAAGTTTAAAATATGTTCATAACAATAACTGGATTCTTTAATATGATACTTGTGTGGCGATTACAAGTCAAAATTCTACTAACAATCAGTCACTATAAAATATTTACAGAAGTTTTAATGCTGAAATGAAGCAAACAAAGGATTTAAAAACGGGAACACGGGAATAAGTTGGCTTTTCAAATGATACTGGAACAAAAGTTTAATCTACCCGGCACAGGGCCACCTATTCCAAATACTCTCAGTTTTAATTTTCATCATTTGAAGCCCTTTTTACATTGGATGGAAATGAAGTGCTCAAATGATTCCTATTGAATCTTTCTCTTTTAATTTACGAGAACATTAAAACGTTTATGAGAAGAGACGCTAAAACAATATGATGGCCAAATGTATCGCCATAGTTTTGAATGCCACACATTTGAGCAAATCTCGATTGAGCTGTCGACTGTCAAATCTCCTAAAACATGCATTGGGCAAATGGCCGAAAAAACAAACACGAAATGAGTGAATCGGGGATATTCTTCGCAAGCGTGAATGAATAAATGAAATGCAAGGGAGGGTCAGTCATTACATTCGTAACGAGCGAATTAGATTTAACTCGTGGTCGTTACATTTTGAAATTGCTTTTTTATTAAAATGCATGGATGGCTCTACTGGTGGGCCATTGCGACGGCACGGCGCCAACGCAAGTCCTTCGTAGTTCGGTACTTCACCACTATGGAGCGTGAGCGTGCTCCCGCAGCATCGATGTCATAGCACGTTTTAACTTTATAAGAAACACGCTAAACGTATTTATAATTCATTGACAACATTTTATTTCATTATATATGAAAACTATCTGTGACTAAATTATGAAAATGAATAAGTTTTTTATATGAACGATTTATATGTTGGAAGCCTCGTCAGAGACAAAAACGTTGCCTATCAAGTGGCAAATTTTATGAGAGTAGTAGGCATATATCTGGCTATATATGAAGCTCCGACGCGTGGACTTACAATCCTTATTTTGAAGAATATAAGTTTAAAATAAATATTGAGAATAAATTTAATTTACCTACGAATACAATGAAACGAAAACTGTTGAATGGTCAAAACGATCATTGAACGGTTTTATTTAAAGTGAACAAACCTTGAAATACATGAGCTTACGTTACTACATTTTATATTAAGAAATCATTTTAGTGATATTCGCTTGAAATTAAATGAGCATTAAAATTATCTCTCCCTCTACGATTACTAATATTGTCCGAATCGGAAATAACCAATCTGAAAAATGTATTAGGTATAATTGATGAGTAAAAATAACCGTTAAAAAGTGCATGTGACGTATGGGGGAGAATTGTCTCGAAGGACTTACGGGGGATATAATAGAAATGTCATGTGCTAAATCTGAAAATTCCGAAAAACTGAGAGTAATTTCTGGGGGATATTGAATAGTTCTATCTCTAAACTTTTCGCAGAAAGCAGGAATAACATGGAAATAATAAAATGCATTTCCCAAATCCAATAATTTGGCTGACAATGTTTGGGTTCATTCAAATTAAAGTTTTTTATCCTAATTATCCTAATATATCACCTATGTCCTAAAGATATTGAAAATGGCAAACAGGCAACATTAAATACAATGTAAATTTTTTGCTGAAATCAAGAGAGTAAAGACGTAGAACGGAAGGAAAGAAGGAAGTAAAGAAGGGAGGAAAGAAGGAAGGGAGGAAAGAAGGAAGGAAGAAAAGAAGGAAGGAAGAAAAGAAGGAAGAAAAGAAGGAAGAAAAGAAGGAAAGAAGGAAGGAAGGAGAGGAGAAACAAAGAAATTCGGAGGGAAGATAGAAATGAAGGGAAGGAAACAGGATTCGAAAGATGGAAAAAAGAAAGGGTTGAAAAGGGCAGGAAGGAATGAAGGAAAGTAGGTACGAAGGATGGAAAAAACAGAGGAATAGAAGAGTGGATGGATGGAATGGATAAACTGATGAAAGGAACAGTGAAAGAACGTAGAGAGCGAGAAAGAGGGAAGAACGAATGGACAGAACGGAAGGAAGAAAATAGGAAAGGATGGAACGACTGTAGGGAGTGGTTGGGGGAAAAGGCTGGCTGGGAGGGACGGTTAAAAATAACGTCTGCAAATATCGGTTGGAAAAATCTGCTGGAAGGTACGACTGGAAGGAACGACAGGAAGAAACGACAGGAAAGAAAGTCAGGAAGAAACGACAGGAGGGACCGACAGGAACGAACTTCAGGAAAGAACAAGACTTGAAGGTCGATCCTAAGACATGTCTGGGCGAGACGTCTGTAAAGGACGTATATCAGACAGGAGTGAGAGGTGGGTGATGAAGGACCGGCTGGCAGTTGGAGGGAGGGCGCGGCCGCCCCGTCGCGCTTCACCTGTCGGATGTGGCGCAGCTTGTCGCTGAGCTGCGCGATGCGCGGGTCGGGCGTGCGCTGCGACCACGCCAGCTCCGGGTTGTACTTCTGCGCGCTGATGCTGGACGCCACCACCACCTTGCTGTACCTGCGCACGTGAGAGCGGGGCTCCGGTCAGGCGACGTTACGCCGTTCATTAACGCTGGCTTAAACTGCGTATACAGGTGTTGTGGTTAGATATCTTTGGCATTTTTAAAATAATTAAAGATGTCATTGCCAACAATATTTTTTAATTCAATAGCAGCATTTGATGGCTAAGCCATCGAAAGCTGCTATTGAATTAAAAAAAAATATTGTTGGCAATGACAACATCTTTAATTATTTTAAACGACGTAGCCTTCGTGGGCCGCAATAGTGGCACAACCAAGTAAATGAGTTTGACGTTTCACCCTATTCTGAAATGCGTCATTCTTGCATTCACACATCTACTATTTACTGGTGGAATTCCGCACTGTAATATGTGATGCAGGTTGCTTATGGAAGATAGACCAAACTGCAATTCTGGAGGGTGTATTAATTCAAAAGTCTAACTGTTTGAGTTGTGTCACACTTGCAGCTCACGAACGAGATACATTGAGCGGTCGGACGTTCGTGGTTGATTTTTTTTAATGAACGTATTGATAGTTGCATCAATATCAATGGGCATTAGCAACTATTTCATTAGCATTCGACATTACTTACAAAAAGAAAACATTGCAAAGAAATAACATGGTACAATTTCCAGGTGGTTGCATCCATAACACTGTCGCACTGAAATTGAACTCCAATGGCTATAAAAAATACTAAAAGGAAGATTATTTCCTTTTACATATACAATTAGTGTAATATGAAAAGAAGAATGAACGGCGAGTTCTGTTGACGAATGAAATAACCGCACATTCATGCAGCTACAATACCGTTTCAATAAGTTTCTCTATAAAATGGAGGCATTCATATACTCATTTTCATATATTTATATACTCATTTTACTGAGTATTTTCAAGCAAAAGGTGTTTTGAAGCTTACTTTCCAAATCTTACAACATTGTTTATATTCGGCTTCGTGTGAGAGAAAAACGATTGTAATGTGAAGGTTTTAAAAGCTTTTGGCTACTTTTATTTTCTCGTATACGTAGTATAGATTATCACGTAATACTGAAAAAAGATGTCGAGATTTACGGAAATATACATTTTGGGAGTCATTGATGCCAAAAAAAAATATTTTTTCAAAATGTTTATCGGTCCGTCCGTTTACAATGATAAAGTTTACTTTTCGATAACTGTTTTTACAGAAGAATGATTTTAACTCCCCGATGCACGTTCATTGGTTGGCATTGTTGCGTGCCCCTCATTATAAGTATGAAGTGGCAAGCGTGAATATATATGATATGATGAATATTACTCAACCATACCAGACCCTACTTGACTAACATGACCCACCTTCAACTGGAAAAAAATCTAAAAACAAATAAAACTCAACCTAAACTTCTTTGAATATTCTATTTTTAATCTGCGTCTAAAGTGGAGACGTGGGAGAGAACCGAGCGGAAGAAAATATTCGTAAGTAAGAGCGAGTAATTGCTGCACATGCTGTACTGTTGGTACCATTGGAAGCAGCTGTAGCTCTAGACATGCATTTCTAGGAAGAACAGATAAAAACACGAAACAGCAGACGTTTAGCAAATGCTCCTAAGAATTGCCGATGTTTTGTAGCAGTGGAAAATATTCAACATGTTGGCACACACATGCAACACTATCAGCTGGCTCTATGTTCTCAAGGTTTTGAACAACATTACTATAAAACAAACTTCAGAAAGGTCGCTGTTTCATATAGGGTAATATGTTAACGATTAATACATAAGCACACAAATGAACTCACACGAAAACGAACACAGACCTTTAATAAAGAACAACAGTATAAAATAACACAGGAGAAAACGTGGTTTGCAAGGAACTCGGATGAGTTTTTAAATTTCATTAACTTTTGATAAGGATTTCTACCAGAGAAAGGGGAAGACAGAGACATTCAAAATGATCATCTCTTTCGTGTCTACTTCCCAACGTCTTCACAATTTCGTCCATCCCCGACGTCTACACAATTTCCGCAATTATTCCTCCACCGTACGCCATTCTCCAGCACTTCTTTGTTTAATCAAAGAAAAAAAATATACAGTGTCCAGATTCCATATAAATGTTTATGGGATGGTTAATGAAGAAGAGTAGGCAGCGCGGTTGACAAGAGAACGAACCAAGAGCAGGAAGCCAACTGAAAGGGAGAGGACTGAATAAGTAATGGAATGACGCGGAGCACAGACGTGAGCAGCTTAAAACAAGAGGGGCCAAGTATATTTCTGGGCCCCTTTTCTATTTACGTTTGTTACTTACATATACTGTAGTATATGTAAATAATTAATCTTTTCACTAGTAATAAATAAAACTCATTAAGTATAATAAAATTATAAGATAAACCATAAAATTAATAACTTGAATTCATTTCACTTTGAATCTGATAAGTAGTTGCCCAAATTGTCAGGTTAAGAGAAGGAAACTTCAGGCATTGAACAAATTTAGGAAAATAAATTAATTTATTACAGGGTCTCCTTCAAAAATTTCGGGGTTGGGAGACAATGGCCCCCGGCTTCCCTAGCCCACGCCCATGACCGTATTACAATTTTCCCATGCTCTTTTAGGGTAGGGCGCTTTCCTATTAATATAACACTAAAAGAGATGCCATAAAAATGTGAACACGTGTGCATTTTGGCGACTTAATATTATGTTTTTAACTATGAATAAATATATTAATTAATATTATTATATATATTAAATTATTATTATTATTGGGTTTAATTTTTGTTCTGAAAGGGATTTTATTCTAAAAACCAAAGAACTAGTCTTAACATGATGTCTGACGTCAATGAAAAAACCATACGATATAAATAAATACAATAATGTCACAACGGATGCCACCACAGATAGTGTAGGTTCCTCACTTCAATCGACAATCGACGAGGCCAATTTTCCTCCGCGCGCAACGTAGCGCAGTCGGGATAATTGTGTGGATTGAAACTCGACTCCCATCCAAGCCGCCCCAAGAGACAGCCAGGCAGATCGGTAGCCCAACCACAATAGCGGCGCGTCTAATGCATCTCCCCGACCCCGGGCTCAGGTCTGGCCCGAACCGGCCCGGAGCCTCTCGCCTTGGATCCCACCTCGCCTTGCCTCACGCCTCGCGCCACCCCTCGCCTTGCCTCTAGTCATGCCTTTAGTCTTGTCTTGTTTCTGGTTTCGTTTCTCGCCTCACCTTGCCTCTCGCTCAGTCTTGTCACTAATCCACTCTTCCTTTGCCTTGTATTGTTTTTTACCCCTCGACTCATCTCACCTCTCGTCTTGCCTTGTCTCTGGCCTCATTTCTCGCCTCGCCTCTCGCGTCGCCTTCCCATGTCTTGTCTGTGACCTTGTCTCTCGCTCCGACAAAGCTCTCGCCTGGCCTTGCCTCTGGCCTTGTTTCTCTCCTCGTCTCTCTCCCCGACTTGCCGCTCGCTCCGACATAGCTCTCGCCTGGCCTTGCGTCTGGCCTTGCGTCTGGCCTCGTTTCTCTCCTCGCCTCTCACCTTGTCTCTCTCCCCGACTTGCCTCTCGCCGCCTTCCCAAGTCTTGTTTGTGGTATTGTCTCTTGCCTTGCCTCTCGCTCCAACATAGCTCTCGTCTGGCCTCGCCTCGCCCTGCCTTTCCTCTGGCCTTGTTTCTCTCCTCGCCTCTCACCTCGCCTCTCTTCCCGACTTGCCTCTCGCCACCTTACCATGACTTGTCTCTGGCCTTGCCTCCCACCTTGCCTTTCGTTCCAACATAGCTCTCGCCTGGCCTTTCCTTTCCTCTGGCCTTGTTTCTCTCCTCGCCTCTCTCCCCGACTTGCCTCTCGCCGCCTTACCATGACTTGTCTCTGGCCTTGCCTCCCACCAAGCTCTCGCCTGGCCTTTCCTTTCCTCTGGCCTTGTTTCTCTCCTCGCCTCTCTCCCCGACGTGCCTCTCGCCGCTTTACCCTGACTTGTCTGTGGCATTGTCTCTCGGTGGCCTGGCCTCGCCGCTCGCCGCGCCGCTGGGCAGGGGCGTGGGCGACGGAAGCGAGGCGTGCGCGGCGGAACGCCCCACGCCCCCGGCGGGCCAACGTGCTGCGGCGGCGGCGGAGGCGGCGCTGGAGGGCGGGAAGGAGAGCACGTTTCGCCCGAAGGCTCAGTTCTGGAGCACCCGCGCCGCGGAGGGGGCCGCTGCGTGCGCGATGCGAGCGGTGCATGGGAAGAACGAAGCATGGGGTTGAAGCTTTCGGGCTCGGGGAAGGGGTAACTCAAATACATTGTGTTATATATATATATATATATATATATATATATATATATATATATGTGTTGTGTGTGTGTGTGTGTGTGTGTGTGGTGTGTGTGTGTGTGTGTGTGTGTGTGTGTGTAAAGAAAATATATTTTCTTTATTCTAAACATGTTGATTCCCACCCTTGGCGCGTGGTTAAGAGTGGTTACGCGTAGTTGAAACTAAGACCAGACGGGAATGATGCGCGACGATTGTTGAAAAATATTGAAATTTAAGTTATTAAAGTAAGTGTAAACAGAGAAGCAGTTAGTCAGCTTTAATTCTCGTTTCTCTGTTTACAGGTAAGTTTAGGTCAAACAGTTTGTTTAGGTCAAATAGTCTTTGTTAATAAATTAAATAATGTTAATAGACTTTGTAAATGATTGTTCATAAAAAGGAATAAAACTTTGTTTACAGGGAAACAAATTTAGCTTATCACTAACCCAACATAAACAATTGTCTTATATATATATATATATATATATATATATATATATATATATATATATATATATATTTACGTATATATACATATGTGAGTGGATAAAACAACAGACAGTTTTGCAGAAATCAAGGCCAGAAGATTACAATGGTTCGATCATCTATTACGAATGGAAGGAGAAATCCTTGCAAAAAATATCCTATGTTCAGATCCCGAAGGAAGAAGACAGAAAGGAAGTTCATATTTAAGGTGGGTAGATGACGATGAGATGGATTAAAGTGAGAAAGTGGAGAAGAAAAAGTCAAAAAAGAGAGGTGAAGCGTACTAACTGATCACTCCCTGCTCCCAACGAACAATTCGAACTTTGTAAGGCCTTGAACTGTGTGGCACCAATTTTTTCATCAGTTTATCAACAAACTGAGATTCTTAGAATTGTGAATTCAAGTCTCCATAAGACTCGGAATTCTGCTCGTCTGTGACTACCCGTGCCACGGGGGTACCCAAAAGAACACTCCCCTCTGAAAGTAATAGTAGGTCCCATTAATAGGAGGAAAATAACTCATAACGCCTCTTCGAGTCGGGGAGGTTTCTCAAACTCAGGCCTAGGGCTTACCACGAGTTCTGTGCGGTCCATGTGCCAAGAAACGGATTCGTGGTGAGTGTTGCGGGTTGCGTGATGGAGCCACATCCGGCTGTTCAAAATTATCAAAACTTGAAATTTGATTTCTTACGAAAAGAGAAGACGAGGGATGAAACTGTACCCAACTATCAACAACATTTAACTTTGATTCGAAACGGTAGGCGATTTGAGTAAGTTTGGTTATCCTGTAACGTAGACCAATTACCCAAAAATTCGTATAGCTTCGTGTGTGTGCTTGTGTCGATGTGGAGTGCTTGCTGACGGGAACCGTTCTGCGTGGCTAGAGCGACTGCAGAATCTGCTGGCTTTTACCAAGTACGCACACGCGTTATCAGTATATGATTATTGATTAGCCTTCTCAAATCTTTTCTTGACAGAGACGACAACAAATTGTCTTGCATGATTCGCTTCCTACGGGTAAAAGTGTCATAAGCAAAATGGTAAGTTCACAATTGCCTGTTAAAATTATTTGTTTTCTGATATGTAATTTTTCTCTTTACTTCACTTTATAGTTAGTTTTGTCATTATCTCACTATACAGTATAACTTTGTTACTTATTAAAGATTGGGAAAGTGAGTACTTTTACTAATCCTTTTTTCTGGCTCCGAAATTAATATTTTACGACAAGGAAGTTAAAAAACTGCGCTTTTTGGTTTACGATTTAATAAATTAAAACGTGTTTAAGAGGTAAAAATTACATTAATATTGATGACAATGGTCTCCGCAACTTTTATCATAGCTGATGTGAAATCAGAGATGGCGATCAAAAGGCATTTGCATATTAAATTAAATTATAAGTAAATAAGTGTAAGCAAATAAAAAGAAAATTGCTTGGAACATTGAATAACGATTTATCAGAATCTTTACTAAACAATCACAAATGAAGGAAATAGGTGAGGGCGGTTTTGCTAAGTCTGCTCATTCATCATAAACATAATCAATTTTCAGTACTCTCTACGATGACTGAGATGGATGAAACTGTAACAGTAATAATGAAGCCCAAAAAAGAGCAATTTGGACTATATCCAGTCATATTACTGTAATAAAGCTCTCTTCAAGAACATCCCATCCCCTTACCACTCTCAGTATTTTAATCTAACGAGTCTTCGTTTTCAGTTAGATATATAAATCTCTCGCAGCTACTTTATTAGAAGACTATTAATACTCTTCGGATGACGAGATGGTGTGCAGGGGGAAGCGTGCAGGCTTGCAAGAAAGATAACGCAACGCACGCGAGGAAATTTGCACGAAGGGTCCCCGAGACTAATGCCTACAATTTGTCAGCGTTAGCGAGTAAATTGCTTGGAAGTCATCCAGTGATAGTTTTCCGAACAAAACCGCTCAGCAAAGTCAAGATATTCTTTAGAGTATTCGGCAGTAGGAAGATGTACCACGATCAGAGAAAATGTGAAATTATATATATTTCCACATTTCTTTTCCAGGAAGGAATGCAAAACCCGGAGACTTGTGACGCAGTGGCAATATTACCTGAATAATGACGGTGAGATGAAAGAAACCAGTTGTCTGGATATATATTCAGAAACACTGAAACAATGCCAAGTACTCCCTATAAACGTGTCTACAATGAAGACAATACAAAACGAAAATCTGTGCCAACTTCACATGCTCCGTATTGTTCTTTGAACTGTTACGACTATCAAAACATCTCAAACGCAGTATAAACATCAAATTTACCAATATTGTATTTCCTCTATTAGCACAACACAATTATTTTGTGTAATACACCTTTGAAGTATGTACTTTAGATACTCTGAAGATTAAAGCTTCAAAGACAATGAGTGCAACTTAGCTTTATTCGAAAGGGAAATAGGTGTGTGTTTCGAGTTCACATAAATGAAAAAGACATAATGTGCCTTTGCTTCTAATGCTGTGCAGGGTCCTAGCTAATAACAGTCAGACCTGAAATCCTCTTTCTAAGACAATTCTCAGACTACATTACGATGTACTGATATTTTAGATAAAACAAACAGAAATGTAACTAAACATCGTTATAAGCATATGATCACAACCACAATAATCATACAACTTCAATTTTCAAAGCATCTTTTTAACCTACTTCTGGAATGGATAATGGTTTTTTTCTTGAATGCAAGAGACACACATCCTGCGTAAGGAACAAGACGCATCTCTTACGTAGGATGCGAAACTAAATTTTCGTCGACAGGGAATAAGAAGGCGAATTGTGTTAGGCATAACGATTTTCCAAATTTCCAAATTCCCAATTCTTCCTGTCGCTTATCCAATACACTTTCCACTTGATAGGGTGCTCAAACGGCGCCGAAAGCATAAACAATATCTCAAACCACATTTGCCCTGAGCTTTGCTGATTGATCGCGGTCCATGACCCGTTTCCATGGCTGACTCGCGCGCGCTACGTGGCCCGTTTGTTAAGGTACTGCTCCGGCACTCGCCTGGTAAAGGAGAAACTACGGAAAACTAGCGATCAGAGGTGGCTAGAATTCTCCTCCACGTACAGGCTGAGTTCGGCCAACGTGACAAGCTAGGGAGTGGAAGCGAAGGACCTCCCGGTCAGAGGCACTGCAGCGACATCAGTTGATGCCCTGAGCCACATCTCCCGATCCGAATATTGAGCTGAGGGGAGCGCGGGGCCGCACGACACGAGAGTGTGAGGGGCGGGGGTGGGTAGGGGGATGAGGGAAGTCGGACATGGGGGCGCCATGGCACCGGCCAGCACCACCACGGCACCGCAGCCTGGGATGAAGACGACGGCGGAGGTGGGTCGTTGATGCAAGCGTCGATGGCGCGGTGGTCTAGGCGGCAGCGGCAGGCGGTGCAGCAGTGGCGGGGGGGGGGATTTCGCTGCAGCAGAAGGAGAATGCAGCGGCGCCCTAGACAACACCGAGGGAAGGCATGAAGGCGGCGGCGATAGAGAACTAGGAAGCAACGGAAGGAGGGATGTAGGCGGTGGCAACGGAGGCGGCGTGGATGCTGACGGCGACAGAGCTGTCGGCGAATGCATCTGCGAAGGCGGTGGGGGCGGCGGCGGACATGGCAGCCTATGGCGGTGATAGACGTGAAGTCAGAAGCGGCGATAGGAGGGGACAGAAGGGGTAGTGGATGCGG